CAAACGTCTTTATTGGATTTGAATGGCTCAAAGCTCACAACCCTACTATTGACTAGTTAGAGTAGACACTTGTGTTCAATCAGTGTTCTAAGTCTTGCAACTACTTTACACTACTGTTCTAAGTAGATACAGACACTTCCAATGTTACTGACAGTTCTGATGAAGGTGACCAGTTGTTCTTCTTTGACTAGGATAGATATGTGGATACATATTCTAGTCAAGGCAGAATAGAGTCAATCTGAAGGATATCCAAGACAGAACCAGTCTGGAACCCTCTCAGAATGACTCTACTCTAGAATGTACACAGACCCAGTCTGCTGGATTTTGTCCAAGAGTTCCCTAAAGTCTTTAGTGAAGAGGAATTCAACCAGCTTCCTGAACACTGTCCCTAAGACTATACAATTGAATTAACCAAGGGTTTCCAACCTAAGGATTGTAAGGTCTACTTGCTCAACAGAGACAAGCAGGAGGTGCTTGACAAGTTCCTTCAGGAAAATCTTCAGAACAGTCAGATCCAACCCTCAAAGTCCTCTATAGCCTCCTCTTTCTTCTTTGTCAAAAAGAAAGATAGGAAGCTCTACCCAGTCCAGGATTATTATTGTCTCAATAAGGGTACTGTCAAAAACAAGTACCTACTTCCCCTGATTCAGGAGCTCATTAATAAGACACATACATTCAGGGTTTTCACTAAGTTGGACGTTTGATAGGAATACAATAATATTTGGATCCAAGACAGAGATGAGTAGAAGGCTGTGTTCTGAACCAATTACAGATTGTACAAACCAACTGTAATGTTCTTCAGACTAACCAACTTGCCTACAACATTCTAGTCATTCATGAATCACATTCTTACAGAGCTGATTGACTTAGGGCACATTAGTGTGTATCTGGATAACATTCTGATCTTCACCCAGACAGTCAAGCACTATTACCAACTAATCTGAGTAGTTCTACAATAGCTCTGAGATAATAAACTGTTCCTCTAAGAAGTAAAGTACTCTTTTACACAGGAGTTAGTGAATTATCTGGGCTTTGTGATCAGTAGAGGAGAGGTCTGTATGGATCTGGTGAAGGTAACTACAGTTCAGAACTGGCCACAACCTTAGAACCTGAAACAAGTCTAAGTGTTCCTTGGGTTTGTGAACTACTACTAATGCTTCATTTGAGGCTTCAGTACTATTGTCTGGCCCCTTCACAATCTCACTAGCAAAGATGTTCCTTAGTAATGGGAGGATCAGTAGTAGTCTGTGTTTGAGTCCCTAAAGCAGGCTATCACTAGCAAGCCTGTATTAGCAGTTTCAACAGTTGTGGACAAGTTCTGAGTCAAAGCCAACTCTTCTGACTTTGTGAATGGAGCAGTACTGTCCTAGTTCATTAACAGAAAGTAGTGTCTGATAGTGTTCCAATCAGAATCCCTCTCTATAACAGAACAGAACTATCCTATTTATAACAAGGAACTCCTTACAATTGTCTGTTCTCTAGAAGAGTAGTATCAATATCTCCTTAGTACTATACAGAAGTTTGAGATTTAGAGTGATCACCTTAATCTCTAGTACTTCTGAGCACTCTAGAAGCTCAACTACTGTCAAGCCTACTGGATGTTAGAACTGTAGAACTTTGACTTTGTACTGACCCACAAACCCAGAACACAAATGACAAAAGCTGATTTACTCTTAAGACAAGTAGGTCATGAAAGGAGGGAGAATGATAATGAAAATCTTGTTCTCCTAGACAATTCCTGTTTTGTGTCTGAGACAATCCAAGAGATCTGACTCAAATCCAAGGATGTTGACTTTGTTACCTACATACAGTAAGCTCTGAGACACACACAGGACTGGGTTGTAGTAAAGCAGCTAGAGAAGCAGGCAAGGGATTAGGAGGAGGATAAGGATAGACAGGTTTACTAGGAAGGCCAACTGTATGTTCTGAAGGATCAGAAGCTGTAAGAGGACATTGTCTGAGCTCATTATGACAATCCAACTGTAGAACATTTGGGCCAACACAAAACACAGGAACTCATTACTCAGAACTACTGGTGGCCCAGAATGTAGAGGGAAATCCTAAAGTATGTGACTGGTTGTAATACATACTAACAGACTAAGGCCCACCAGACAAGGGTTTGGGCTCCCCTACATCTGTATTAGATTCCAGATCACTCTTAGGAAGAAGTCTTAGTAGACCTGATTAGTAAGCTACCTGAGTCTTAGGGTTACAACACTATCTGTGTGATTGTTGACTAATTCTCTAAGCAAGTCCACACAGTTCTGACCCAAACAGAACTCACTTCTGAAGGTATAGTGTACATTTATTAGGATCATGTCTTCCAGTTGTACAGACTCCCTTGGAAGCTCATTCATAATCACAGACTGTAATTTGAGTCAAAATTCATGTAGGACTTGTATGTACTTCTTAGAATTCAAAGGAACCCTTCCACTGCCTATCACCTACAGACTGACAGTCAAACTGAGCAAGTCAATCAGGAGATTGAGCTCTACCTCTAGATGTTCATCAATCATTAGTAATCAGATTGGTCTGAATAGCTAGCTCTGGCAGAATTTGTGCACAATAACTAGTAACACTCTACAACAGGACAGTCCCTATTCTTCCTCAATCATAGGAGACATCCATACTAGGGGACAGTTCTGAACTGGAACAGTAGTTCTGAATCTGTAACAGACTTTGTAGAACAGATGCACAGAACCAGGGAGGACACATGAGCTCTTTTAGAAAAGGCAGTACAAGTCATGAAGTAGAACTATGATTGGAAGAGGTCTGTAGCCAAGGACTACCAGCCTAGTGACAAAGTTATGCTAGAAGCCACTAACCTGACCACAGATTGCCTAATGAAGAAGTTGGACAACAAGTACTTCAGACCCTTTGTTATTAAAAAGAAGGTCAGTACCTCTGTCTACAAACTCCAACTTCTAGCAACATAGAAGTACATACACTCAGTGTTTAACAAGGTTCTACTGTCTTAATACTATGATCCAGGTTTTCCTTTGTAACAAAGACCCTCACTACCTCTACCAGAACTCATTAGTTCTGAACCAGAATACAAAGTAGAGTATGTAGCAGATGCTAAGCTGGTGTGTGGAAAACTCAAGTTCCTTATCTACTGGAAGAGATACCTAGTTGAAGAATGTACTTAGGAACCTGCTGAGAATCTCACTCATACTGCTAAGGTGATCCAAGACTTCTATCAACTTCATCTGGGTACTCTGTATTAACTCTGCCTCACAGATTTCCAAACCCTACTATTCTGACCTATGCCTGAACTGCTGACCAAGCCTAATGCTTACCAATCAGGACAATTGGTTTTAGAGGGGGGGTGATGTTACAGTTCTCTACTCTTGTACCTTCAGTTCTGAGGGTTCTACACCCTTCTGTACTGGAACTCAGGACTTCTGTCCCTCAGGGGTACTGTCTATAAACTATATGTATACTGACTCTTACTACTACCCTTCCTTACTTTATCATTCCATTCCTTTGACCACCCCTTCATTCTTTGTATCATTCTATGGTCTCTTACCCTTTGTCCATCCCTTCATTCTTTATACCTTCATCTTTAACATTCCTTTCTTTCATTCTTTGTGGCTTATCATTCTTAGTGGCTCATACTCCCTGAGTACTCTTGTGTAGTTTAGTATATAT